GGGTCATTCTGTTTGTCTCCATTGCTCAGGACTTGGAGTCTTCTGCGGGATCTACTGGCCATGAGAATTTGTCTGACAGTTCGAGCATTGAGCAGTAAAATCAGAGTGAACGCAAGGCAAGGCATTAAAACGTGGAGAATCAAGTCATATGCAGCCCATGCAGGGGATGTATAAAATATTAACTTTACACTGCAGAACCATGGCACATTGTTGATTATGTACAAGGGTTCATATATAAAATACAAGAAGGCAGATTTGAAAGAAATCGCTGAGAAAACTGCTCCTATAACAACTGCTGCTGTCTTTGTGGTGCAATATCTTATTTTCAGCTTCTGGCAACATATGGCCATAAATCGATCAAAAGTAAATACCACCGTTAACCAGGCAGAGCTCCCTAAAGTCACTGAATTTAGCACAGAACGGAGACTGCACAGTGGCGTCAAGGATAGAAAACTGACTGGGAAATAAATGCCAGCAATTCGATTTAGTATCACGCCAGTAATAATAACCAGGAGATCCGATACTGCCATGGACACAAGGTAGCGAGTGATACATCTGGAAAGACCACACCTTCCCTGGGACAGAATCACAATAGCCACTATGTTAGCTGTAGAGCAGAGAAAGAGAGAGCCTGAGAGAGAGGAAAAATATCAGCATGCGAGAACAGATTACTCATGGTCCACTTCCGAGCTAAATCTTTTTAGATTTGCAGGATTCTGAGTCTTCCATGCATCTTCACATACGATCCTGACTTACGAATTATTGTCTTCTTGAAATGCACTGATTTGTTTAAAATAAGCACTCTTATTATGAACTAAAAAGGCCAATGACATCATCATGAAAAACAATTGAAGACATAATGGCATTGGATGTTCAATGGAGCACAGGGGGAAAAACATGGATGCAATACTTTTCGCGTCATTAAGGTTCTAAAGTGGCATCATCAGATGACTTACTGTAAACTCATTCACAAAATTTCAGATTATATAATCCAATTTGTGTGAAAACACACTCAAACAGTGAGACGTGAATTTATGTTATTATTTGGCTTAGCAAAATGGCATTGGTTAACGTGCCACGACACTGGACTGCCTCCTTGAATGGTCATGTTGTAGCTTCTGTGTCCATCGGAACCACAGGAAGTGGCAGCGTGTGAGGTGTGAATCAAAGAAAATCGCCTCCTACAATGCAGACATTTCCAATCTTGTTTCATGCAGTTGGCATAAATGATCAACTTAATGCGAAGGTGGCTACTGACGATAAAACTTACTGCTTTGACGAAACAAAAGCTAACATCAAGGTGACTTGACACGACGTGGAGGAGAGAATGTAGTCATGACCAGTCCTGAGTCTCTCTGAGTGCTAAGTCTGAAGGAACATCTGAAGTCTGCTATGGTACCTGTGTGAACGTTAGCAGCAGCTAATGTGGGCTGAAGCATCGAAGGTTAGAGGCAGACAGGAAAAACACTGTAGCTCCGATTTTGGGATACATATTGGAATATAGATTAGGAAATGCTATTTGAAACACTGTGAAATTTCTCCTAAGAACTTAATGCTTGATGATATACCTTCAAAACATTGACGTCCTGATTTTCATCCTAGAATTATTTAATGGGTGAATAATTGCAATCAGTGTCAATGTAGATGATCAATACAGCTATTTTTACTTAGGGATAACAATGTAACCATTAACCCACAGTAATAATGACAACATTGCAATGTACATACTTTTCCACTGAAATGACGGTGTGATATTTCCCGCAGAATAAGAATGACAACCCACAACCTATCTCCTTTGACACTGAAATCAAAGTTTGATATTATACACAATAATAAATGGTAATAAGACAATAAAATTATATTTGCACCCCGAGGTGTTAACAGTAAACAGGTCAAATACTTTAATTAATTTGGGGGAAGGGGAGGGAAATGATACGGATAAATTGAAGACAGTATAAATGTAAAGTCGCTGCAGCCCTATTAGACAACGGGATTGTTCTCTCATCAGAGGGATGATTGAATGTGACTTAACTTGGTTGTTGCCATATCTACGGTAAGGACAATGTTGTGCCCTACAAGAAACCTCAGCTGGCATTTGAACCCAAACTGTTGGAGCTAGCCTGCATTCCAAATCTGCTCTCCAGCCAACGGAGGTAAACGACCCTCAAAGGACAGTGGACCATTACAGAGAATACATCATACCAGTAATGTGAGAAGACCTTGTTGATAAAGGTGCTGCAATGATTTAAAGGAGAAACATAATGTCATTGGGGCGAAGTAGTGATGTGGTTAAAATTGAGAAATAATACGTTTAATGTGCTGAAATAATACGCGAAAGTGGGAAGTCAGAACACCTGAAAGGAAGAAGGTTTCAATTTAAACAAGACCAATTATCATCTTCAATGAGAGAACGGCCATTGTGCCATGGAAAAGGGCTGTTGGTCAATTGGTCAGTACAGGAAATAGACAGTTATCACCGTCACTAATAACTAAATACCATACTTTACCTGGAATCCCGATTGATGCGAGGACAGGATAGTAAATGGCAAACGAGGCCTTTTGGTGATCTGTGCATTTCTATCTGAAGTTCTGAGAGCATTCCGCACTACATTGGAAGATTGTCACATTTATATCCAATGTCAGGCTCCAGAGACATAATTAGATGTGTTTTGATTTTTGATTTTCATTACACTAATTGAACAAACACGAACGACTGAAGCAGCTGTCAGGCTCATTAAATTTTAATGGAATGGAATGCTTTTTATGCGATCGGACACGCCACCAAATGATGCTACCCAGATATTGGATAATGAGAAACTCATTACAACACTGCAATTGTTAAAGTGATCGACTTGCACAAAGAATTCAAATGGTTCAAATGTAGCAGAGTTAAATTGTTGATCCACGAGGAATTCTTGGCCAAAGATACTGATCTTAAAAGAACACACAGTCACATTCTCATCCCTAATTATTTTTTGATTTTTGCGAAGCAGTTAAATTTTCGTGTATGTACACCATGTTAAAAACAGTTGTGTAATTCAGTGGCTTTATTCAGGACAGGCAACTGGCGGCTCAACTCGATCTTGATAGCTCTTCTTAAAATGGATATTGTATTTCATTTAACCCGTTACACGATGTCGCCACAATGCTGGTAGTTCATCTTACTGTCACAAGTGTTTCTGATTTTCTAATTGCATAACCAGTCTAGTTATTGTCAACTTGGAGAGGACTAGTTCAGAGTGATTACATTCAATACGGAGAGGCCTAGTTCGGAGTGGTTATATTCAGTACGTAGAGGTCCAGTTTAGACTAGTTATATTCAGTATGGGGAGGTACAGTTCAGTGTGGGTTACATTCAGTATTGAGTAGTCCAGTTCATTGTGGCTTATATTCAGTATGGAGAGGTCCAGTTCAGTGTTGGTTATGTTGTGGCCTTGTCATTATTGCAGTCGGCATTAACATCTACTGCTAAAATCTTCTAAAGTTCACAGAACATGGTCTCTCTTCATAAGTCAATCCTGCCATCCTCACAATCAGTTTGGTCAATCTTTGTTGTACTCACTCCAAAGCCAGAATACCTTTCCTCACATAAAGAAACTGAAACTGCACACCATACTCCAGGCACTGCACATAATACACCGGATCTCCGTGTAAACAACCAACGATGGTACAACTCTCATGTCGAGCCTAAATCCACTAGGCTTACAGTCACCTCTCACAATCCCTCGTTGTCCCTACTTTTCCTGACATCCCCTCTGTTCTTGTTTTAAAATTACTGCACGCCAAACTTTCCTGATGTGGAACTGTAGCGCTGACCGAAGTGATTCTGACAAGGCCACAGCATAATTCCGTCTCGAGAAATTAATTAACAATTCATATTTTTGCCAACAGATGCGAATCACAACTTGGACCAATTCTCAAGCCCTGACCGTGAGGGAAATGAACACCAATATTTAGAATGACGATTATACCCGCCACTTGTGCCATTTCTTCGCGTCATCTCCCCATCATCAGACACGTTTCTTCAACAAAAGTAGCTTTAAGCGGAACACAAGCGTCTCCTCCAGACAATGAGAACGTTGTTGTGAGCTGGGACATGGAAAGGACAGTAAGCTGGAATAGTCCCACACACTGCTCATATGTAACTTTCAATTTCCAAAAGCCCCAACAGACCCAATCACTGGTGCTAAGATAACAAGGTGTAGAGCTGGATGAACACGGCAGGCCAAGCAGCATTAGAGGAGC